TGTCTTTAGGAGCAAGATGAAGAGCTGTGCATTGTGAAGGATGCCCTTAGGCGGGGTCTTTTCATCAGACCGACCTCTCCATCCCTAGCAGAGTATGCAAAGATTAGTCATGAGCTGAGACTAGTCAACAATCATGTTTACTGGGCTGGAAACCCACGTAAACTACTACTGGTTATCCCTACGGCTTGTTTGGAAGAGCTTATCAATAAAGCTCATGCTATTGGGCATACTAATACTCAGGCTACGGTAGAAACACTCCGCAAAATATGTTATCTTCTATGGATGTGGAGACGTACTTACGAGGTGGTTGCTAAGTGCCCAGGGTGCGTCCGTAATCAAGTTCCTGATCCAGTCCTACCCATGCAGCAAGTGAGTCGAGCTACAGCTCCATGGCAAGTACTGCATATTGATATCGTCTCCTATGGCCCGATACATTTTTTGACAATCATCGATGCCTTCAGTAAGTTTTTGGTATGGGAAAAATCTTCCCTCTATGACGTCGTACTGGGTGGCTTCGATGTTGATGCGGTGCTTTATTAAATTGGGACCTCCTGGGACAATTATAGCCGATAATGCGAGGAATCTCAGTGGCCCAGAGGTCAGGAAGACCTTACAAGATTTTGGAGTGACATTGATGAGAAGTTCGGAGTACTATCCAAAGGGTAACTCCATAGCTGAACGACTTCATCGCACCTTGCATCAGCTGGCAAGAGCGTTTTCTTCAAGGACGCCTACTGATATCCGTCGTGAAGCAGCTAAACTAGTCTATGTGTATAATAGCCGCCCCCATAAAGCATTGGGTAACCACAGTCCATTTATGGTGTTGTTTGGGCATGATCCCTATATCATTGAGTCGGATCGGTATGACCTACGCGAATTATATTCTTTATGGGATGCAGTGCGTACCCAACAAGCATGGCAGCATCGGAACAATAAGATCTATTATGATCGACGTAATCGGGCTCAGGAGAGGAGTGGTGAAGACTACGGTGAAGGTTGTAAAGTACTACTATATACTAGAAGAGTTGGGGGTATCAATGTAGACAACAAGCTGGCAGATGTCTGGCAAGCTGGGTGGTGGATTCTACACTCTCCGTCCGTGCAACACCCCAATACTGTGATCATCACCGATGGTAAGACCAAGCGTTTGGTTAACCTGCGGTATGTGAAACCCGATAAGCTACAGCCCTTAACCGATGAGAGCAAAGCCCAAATAGTAGAGAAGAGTACTTATGAATCAGTAGCAGCAAGCCTAACTCATGAAGTTGATGTTGAAGCAAGTATAGTTAGTGATGAAGAGCAGATAGGAGATGCTTTAGCCGATAGAGAAGGCCAGCAGCCGGTAAGAAGGAGTACGAGAGTCAAGCATCCAGTAAGAAGATTGAGTATTGGCCTGGCCAATACCACAAGCTATGGTGATAAGATTTATTAGTCTAAGTCGTATGTTTGATAGGATAAGTTTCTTTGTATGTGATCACCTCACTCAGGAAGAGAGGGGAGAATAGTTGTAGGATAAGTATCCTAGCGCACAAGGCATATGTCCCTATTGTGCCATTTGTATCCTAGCCTAGCTTTGCAATGTATAAGTGTTATATTGGAAGTTAGTGAAGTTGGATCATCATTGTGATCTACTGTTGAGTTAGTCTAACGACTTCTCTATACTAGCCAACCTCTGGCCGACCCCTGGCCAAGCCCTGGCCGACCAACCGGGTCGGCCAGTAGTCGACCAGGGGTCGGCCAGGCCTTCGGCCTGGCTAATGGATGTGTCCCCGTGTTGGGGGAGTTTGCTCGGTGTTGAACGAGTATGCGGTCGACAGTTGTCGGAATCCACGTGTGGTCAGATGGTCGATCCCTAATTAGGGGTAAATGTGTTGTGTGGTGGATAAAGGGTACCATTGCCAAGTCGGTCGATTCGGGTGGTGCGAGTCGCACCGTGCGACTCTAGATTTGTGTAAACTACTAGCTTCGCGTACTAAGTAATCGTGATGATTTTAATCACATATATGTTTATCATAAGTGTTATTATTCCTTCGCATTACTGCTCGTTTATTTTGCTTGATTCATCTTCATGGCGATTTCGAGTTCCAGCCGCCTCTGAGTGGCGTTATGCTTGAATTGCCCTCGCATTTTGTTTATCCTTTGTCTTTAGGTTCCTTTTCTTTTGTTTTCAAATATGGATGCACCGTTGTTGATGTCGACGTTTTCAACTGCTCCAGATCTGTCTGGGACCATAGTTGAGACATTAGCTCAACCACTATTTTCGGTTGACTCTTTGAGAACGTTGAAGGCAGCGGTTGATGATGCCGAGTTGTTGGGAGAAATGGTAGATGCTTATGCTGTCGCTATGGGTGCTGTATTGGATAATGATGCCGAACAGCCTCAGGCTGATATTATCGCTGTGAGACTGAGAAGAGCAAGATTCAGAGCTGCGTTAATTGCCGCTGCTT